CGCCACCTTAGGTATATGTGGCTGGCGCCTTAGCCTCTTGAGCCACAGGCGCCTAGCCCCAGCTCACTCTTAAAAACTTTTCACCCATACCTAGATTGTACTTGACTTGAGGACTTGACTTAGACTTTTCAAAAGCTAACTCAGAAATCATTTTATACATACACTTTATTTTACAGCAAAGGAAACAAAATAACATATTTCCCCAGAACCACACAGCTACATATAAACAAGGCGCTAAATCAATGATGATTTAAATACCTGTGTGACATGATGGGATGGAACTATGGCAATGAAAACACATAAAGCAAAAAATAAAAAACATCCACAAATACAGAATGTAAAAGGGATTTTCAGAGGGGTAGTTCTCAGTTGCCAATCTGTACCCAAAGGGCCTAACCTATTCCTTCCTCTGCATACGCCCAAGTCCCTGTATACTGCCCTATTTCCAATATCACTATCCTCAGCCAATCTGAAGGCAAGCAGCAAATAACAGGTCCCAGGAGTAAAGGAGGGACAGGGAAGGGGATCTCACTATTAACTATGATTGACAGAAACCATAAACGAGTACATACATACACAGATATATGCACACACCAAGTAGAACATGCTCACCAGCACCTACATCCAGTCTTCCTTCCTTATCACCCAGTGTTAGCCCACCTCATCTGCAGTCTCCCCACATTCCTTTATTTTTTTCCATGCCCTGTGGTAGCTTTTACTTCTCACAATCCCTTTCCTGACAGAGTTTTAATGGAGGATAAAAGCAGGCAAACAAAAGAATTCAAAAATAAACATCAAGAAGGTCACTTTACTCAAACCAACAGAAGTAATAGGGTGGACTCTGCGAGACCAAGAAGCACATAACAAACATGCCAGGTTTAAGTACAGCTCTGTCTCTAACACAGGAAGTAGGCAGAACCTTGAAAAGCGGGGAGCAGAGTATAGGAAGTCTTTTAGCACTGCAGAGATTTCCAAGAGTGGTGTAACGGAGAGAGCACAGGAATAGAAATTAGAAGAGCAGGCTTTAGTTCTAGATCTTCGGAGTGGCCTTATTCAAGTCACTAGTCTTTTGCATTTTTAATTCCTCATCTACAAAAAAAGGTGATCAAAACATGTTGGGAATTGAATACCTTCCAAAAAAACAAAAATGATGAAACTATTGACCCTCCACCACCAAAAAGTACACATAAACTCTTATGCTTAAGAATCTTCCCAGTCTATTAAGTTAAGAACTAGAAAGATGTCTAGTCCCTTCTAACTCTTAACACTGTGATTCTAAGAGAAAAAGGCAAGTATCTACAACATAGTTGGTAGATGAGCCTCACCATCTCACAGTAAGTATTTGGTGAATACAGATCAAATCCTAAAACTTAGAAAGGTCTTAAGATTAAACTACAAACTCAACCGACATCATGAATACCTTTCCCCACCCAAATCCACCCAGCTTCTCCTTGAGTCCAGAACTCAGAAATCAGTCTTCTAATGGCCCTATAAATTTTTTTAAAGCCCAGGACATTAAAGAGTTATCGGGTGTCCTGGTAATGTAGGATGCAATGGGCAAAGCACAGGAGGGACCTGTCCGGTGTCTCATTAGCATGCTCCACAAAGTTAATGAGACAGCACCACCGGGTCCCCACATCACTACCAAACTCGCGTACTTCACACACTCCTGTGTGGTGATTTAGCCCACAACCTCAGCCACATCCCCTTTCGGCTCTCTTGAGGAGTTTTCTGGCTTTTCTCCCCACTCCTTCAAAAGCCGCTTCCCTTCCCCATCCCAGTGTGTGCCTGAGGGCTGCCAAAAAGATACTCCTCCTTCTAGGGACGTTTCCCACCAGGTCCTTTCGTCTCCACTCAGATCAGTGGCTCCCCTCTGGGCAACAGACGAAGGATTTCCCCGCTTCCACCCCACCCCAAGGAAAGACCGAAGGAAAGGTTTGAAGAAATGGAACCCATCTGAACCATGTCCGATTTCCCCCCAAAACCTAGTCACCCGTCGTGCCCCTCATCCCCTCAGGAATCAGGACCCTCTCCGCACACCAGGGTACCCCTGCACCCTTCGCCTTCTACTCCAAGCTCGCCCCAACTTCCAACCAGGCCCCGACCCACCCCCTCCCACCTCCAACCCGGGACCACCCTAAGCCCTCCCCTCTCCAAGCCTGGGAGCCCGGAGCCGCCCCTCACGACTCCGCTCCGCACCCCAGCGATAACCGGGCGCCCGGTCCCGCGCGGTCACCTGCATCCCGCCGCCGCCGTCGGCCGCCGCCTCCTCGGTGCGCGGCCGCTTGCTCAGGCCGGGCTCGGCTCCGTCTCCTCCCGCTCCGGGCACCGGCAGCTCCAGCTCCGACTCCCGCTTCATGCCCCGGGCAGCGGCGCCGGG